AGGGAATATATGTATACTCAGGGCAGTCTTGGCTCTGCTTGATTGACAAATTATAGGTAATGTGATTGGTGGTGTAATTTTTATACATATTGGACGAGGGAAAAGGTTATATTATTGTCTCTATATGCTTATTTGTCATTTGTTATCATTGGTAGGTGGTGTCTTTTTACAAAATAATTCATTACACTTGGATTGGTCATTTCGCATTATAGTCACTTTATTATCCATGTCTGTCGGTGGTTGCGTTTGTCAATGGTTTTCGTGTTCGGCGGCGGCGATTACTGTTTTGACAAGGGCTCGGAATGGCCACCTATCGTAGAAGAGCACTACTGGCACGTGATTAATAGATAATGAGTTAGGCATCCATGCGGTGCATTGCTGTGGAACATCAGCTTGGCAGGTCCTTGTGTTCGTCAAAACATTCCTCGAAGTAAATAAATAAGATAATTATTTTTTACTTTATATCATAAAACTGGAGGTCGGCGGCTGCCAGGGGCGCCCGTATCTGGTGAGAACCGGTTCCAGAGGAGGTGCCAAGTGGTTCGTTGGACGTCAGGTCTCGTGGGGCCGGGACCAGTGAGCTCGGAGCTATCCCACTGACGCTGATCTCAACATAGGCGGACGGAGATAACTCAGTGCCACAGACCCGAGTTGTCCGAACGCGATGATAGGTTCCCTTATCACGCTGCTATCTAGTGGACCACCGGCGCAGTTTTTGTGCAAAACTGGCTATCAACGCTTAGATGCAAAAAGTTCCTGCACTCACACACTACCCTCGTAAAGTGTTAATTTTCTTCGGTCAAAGTCCCCTCCATTATCTGGTATATATTCGCCGACCAGTATTTGGAAAAAGACACAAAAAATGATGATTTCAAGATGTTTTGAAGAAGTTACGTGCTTTGGCTTCTGTTATTCGTATCTGACTGTTCTAGTCCTCGTTATCGCGGGCTTTCACCGCCAGCTGCGCCACGGCCGGTCGCTGCGGCACAGCGCTGCGACCCGGCCCCGGGCGATTTGTAACTATTTTCAGCCCCGTATGATCGGCATGTAGCGCCTCGGCCATTGCTCTCTCCCGCATACTTCACTGAACTGGGCGGTTTTTCTGATGGGAAACTGCTGTGGATGAGGTTCAAATGAATTACGAAATTAGGATTATCTCAAATATCTGTCACATTTCCATCACAAAACGTCCGGGTCTTAAAAGTGAATCGCCATGCTGGCATGTGTTCCAAAGAAAACCTGTAGCAAACCATTTTCACCGGCGAATCCAAGGGGGGGGGGGCTTTTTGAGCAAATGCCCCGCAGCGTCCGAAATCGACAAAAATGTGCGTTTTTCGATAATATAACGAAAACTAAATAGCTTATTAGGATTTTTTAACTGCACAGCAGTGCGCAAGGAATCGAAATCCGATGAGTTTTTGGAATTTTGAGAAACTTTGGGAGGGGGGGGGGGGGAGATTGCTCCCCGTAGCGTCCAAGACCGCCTTTTTGGATCCGCCAGTGACCGCTTTATTCTTTTGTGTTTGCCTTTCTAATCTAGCTTTATCCGTGACAAGAGAAGTATGCAAAGGTATGCTGAACTGTGTAGGCGTTGCGGTGTAGTCGCAACTTACAGACATTTCCTATTGTTCCTGAGTTGAGAAGTCCCTTTTTCACTGTCACTCACTAAATACGGGAAGACGCTGAATGGCGGGCCAATTCGAGTGATCCTTGTCCAAGAGGATGGTGCCAAGTTGATACAGATTACCTGCTTTTCGTATATGGTCCACGCACCATAACTTTTTAATGAAACAACAACAAATTGTTCAAAGCCTTCCTAAAATGATGCGTTTTCACAAACAAGCTTCGTCGGGATCTGGCTGTGGTTCAGGAGCGCACCGCGTTGGCCGTTGGGTATGTGTCATTGGCCGTTTGCTAGCTGTCACGTGCTGTTTTCATGCACCTGACGCCTGGCGAAGCTGCTGTTTAGCAGATAGTAGTCATTGACACATGCCTACGTGACAGCATGACAGCCGGAACTCTGTGACTTGCTAGTCGGATTAATGATTTGCGGTATTGGTATTTTGCATCATTCGACAATGATGATCACAGGCCCATGGCGCAACAGTACATTGACCTGTGGTTTGACGCGTTAGCATATGACTCGCTAATCTGCTGCATGCCAGCGGGAGCTTGAATCGCTGGCTGTCTTTTATGACACACAAGCTATGTCACACTGGTCTTTATTACACACAAGCCATGTCAAGCAAGTCTAAATAACACACAGGCTATGCCATTCTGTTCTTTCTGACACATATGCTATGCCACGGTGGTTCTCATGACATCTTGCCTTTAAACTTTTCCATTTGTATAACTCGTTAGTCTGTATGACACTCCAGCCCTGACGGCTCGTATTCAAATGTCCCTCCGCTCTGTGTAGGGGAGGATGGGGTAATTTGGCCGGCAATATAATTTGGCTGCCCCCACCTGTACGATATCTGACATAAATGAACGAAATAAATCTAGCCTCTATTCGTGTGTCATTGGTGGAACTCATCCGTGGAAAATTTTCAAAACTCCCCCCCCTCGTAATTTTCTTCAAAATCAATAAAACGGGAAATCCATTAGAAAATGATAGCTTTTACTTGCATTTGAAACATTGTATAGCATGTACTATTTGGGCTGTAAACGAATTCCGACATTGTGGTGCCATTCTTAAAGGGACTATCCCACCTTTAACATGGGGTTTGAGTTGAGATAGCCAAGTTTGCAGCGAAGTTCAGAAACCACTATCTATCTAGGTTGCAACCCCCGCGGCCTCTTGGTGTTGAAGAAATTCGTTCCCTTCATTTGAAAATGGGCCTTGTACAAGGCCCTATCTTCAACATGGAGCGACCGTTAGTGTGACATCACCTCGTTTAGTCATTCTGATTTAAATGGGTTTGTTCGTTGAAAAATCGCTTAAAACTTGGTCTGAACTTTGTTGTGGTGCCTACAGAGTAAAAAGAATCAGCTTTATGACAGTAATGTGGCCTGGGGAAGGAGGTAATTTTGGGCTGTGACGTCACATATTTGAAAGTTTGTGTTTGGAATATGGGAAGCCTAAGATGTTTAATGAAAAATAAATGCCAGAACCGTGTTCCTGGTCATCCAATCTATAAAGTCGGGCACAATTTAACTGGTTTTAACAACATTTTAGAAGGTGGGATAGTCCCTTTAAGGGTGTTCTGCGTTTCCAAAAGCAATTCACCTATTTCCGTGTAACCGTAACGATTTTATAGACAATTTTTTTCAGAATGGCAATGCGGAGTAATTTGGCCGGGGCTAGTGGAGCAGCTTTCCCGGTGCTCTCAGGATCGCTATGCTGGGACAGCCGAGTTGCTAAGCTTGTGGTGCTTATCTGAGGCCTGTTTCACTAAAAACTTGCGATTACAAGTGTTTGAACTTTACAATTCATAAGTATTTTTGCAAACTATGTAAAATCGGATTTCACTAAACTTCATCACCAGCGGCACCTCCGATAAAAAGAGTTGGTAAATAAACTTGTAAACAGTAAAATTGTTTTTAATCAAGAACTATAACATGTTACAGATATTGCTTCTTTTTATCAACCTATGTCTAGTTTTCATGTCATAAATTGCAGGAATAAATTAAAAACAATGATGCTGTTTCTGAATGGTATAAATGATAGTTCACAATATCTTATTATTGAAAGAAAATAGCACGTAAAGCATTTGACAGCAGAAGACTGTTGAATGCAATTATGGCGCGCGAATGACAAAACATGACGATATTTATTTATTGCTCGTAGCTGGTTCGTAGGGAATGTGCTAAGTGAAAAAGTGCATATAATGACTCAGCATATCATATTTATTTTAAATAATTGATTCCTTTGCATCATTGCACAAAAAGTAATAAAATTCCAAACGTAAGGGCCACTGGAATTTCGGGTTTGTAAGTACAACGTTTTCTTTCAAGTTTTTGGTCTTCGTGAAACAGAAAGTTTGCGATTTCGATGTTTCTTACAAACTTTTTTCTTGTAAAAAAGTTGGTAAATCTTAAACTCAAAATTCATGCCCGAAGGTTTCGTGAAATCCAAATTTCAAATGTTGGTAATTATTTCTTTTAAACTCAAGTTTTTTCTTTGTAATTACACACTTTATTTGTTAGTGAAACAGGCCTCTGGTAGGGTGCACAGCCGCCGGCGGTGGCACTGCGGCACAGTCTGCCTTCTAGGGGCTGGTCAAGACACTGCACAACGTAGTACGACTTGGAAGCTAGGGAATTGCTCAAATCAAACTGATAGTCGCAACTGCATTTCGCAAAAAGTATCGATCACGTGTTTGCGGACATGGGAAGGTTACAAGATGTGAGTGTTTGATACCTACTCAGTTGAGAAATTGATTGCAAAAAAAAAAAATTGAATTGAAATTAGTCGAATATTTCCTAACTAAGAAAATAACATTTTTTCCATTAAAGTTCCCCCTCACTAATTAAAAGTTACATTGTAAAAATGGCCAATGTTTTGACAAGTTAATGCGAATATTTCATTGAACAGTGTGTGCAAAGGAAGCGCATTCTCAGCTGCGCAGGAAAATGTTAAACTCACTAACAAAGCCTGAGTCAAAGCCATTCGAATATAAGTCCGACACCGAGTCAACCTAAACAATGCGTATAGGACGCATGTCATTGCTGACGCTGAAGCTGACTCGCCTGTAACATAAAATCCAGGCTTCAAATTAACACCGGCCAAATTGCCTCACACCACCGGCCAAATAACCCTGCTGGCGGGGTAATTTGGCCGCTTTGCAGACCTTTGTAAAAGGTCAAAATTTAAGTATAAGTAGTTACTCTATCATTTTCAGTGTACTGTACAGCAAAGGAAAATTAATGCGACACCTGCCAGCGTTGAGAGAGTGCAGACATAACTATGTCGCCAATTTTGAGATACAACACTTTCTAAAAAAAAGCGGCGAAGCTGCCCCATCCTCCCCTAACCTTCCCACCCCTGTCCCTTACAGGCGCTGAACCAGCTGCTGCGTGCCTTCATCCTGTCCGCGTTCGACATGGCTCGTGAGATCCAGATCACACCCCGCCGGCTACAGTACGCGCGACAGACCGAGGCAGAGCTCTTCAGCAGCGTCATGGCCATCGCGGACAGCAACCAGCTGCACATGTCGCAGATGGTCAACCGCGCCTGCGTCAGCATGAGGGACGAGCTGCTCAGTCAGGCGGCCATGTATCAGTTCAGAGGTGAGGATTGGAGGGGATGGGACCGGGCAGGGGGGGAGGTGTCCGCTCGGAAAGATACTGGCTTGGGCGTGAGTTAAGTTGGATGTCTCCGGCGACTTGCTAGCATTGGCTGGAAGTGCTATTTGCGTCGGATGAGGAGTCGAAGTATGAAACGCCACCCGCCTGGAACCTGACGGGACTAACAAGGCTTAGGTCGGTGGACCGGTTCAGATGTCGGCACTCAAGACTGGGCCATGCCCGTTCTTGACACAGTAAAGTATGTGATGAAATATGAAGACAACATATTGTTCGGGGATATTCTTGGAAACCGACTGGAGCTAGTCTTACAAGGCTGAATGGTGTGGCAATGCATGTACGAGTACAGACGCCCAAAGTGGACCGGTTTTGTAATTCAAGTTTTTAACACCGTTATCAAAAGTAAACAACGTGCTTGGTGGCCCGAACTCCTAGCTAAACATTATCGCGCTGGCCATTGGGTTCGGATCGCCGTCGGTGGCGGTGGCACGCCATCGGTAGCCATTTAGTGCCTGTCGCCACCCCGGTCCCAGCGATACCCACAGCACAATCAGCGCACCACTCCCGTCCACCCCAGAGGCCAATCGGCTGGGTGTGTCATTTTTTTATAGTGAGATCTGTCTAGGAGTCGCGATAGAGACGCCGATGGCCCGGGCGTGTTTGGTGTTTGTGTCGGAATGGCTGAAGGCCGCGGCGGGCGGTGGTGGCCGGTGGGGTCGGAACATTCCTCGCGCGCTGGGGTGGGGCCGAGCGCCGGCCGCGGCCGGTGCACCTGGCTGTGCGTACGATGACCTTTGGCGGCTGGGGAGGGAGAGAGGGGCGGACGAGGTCAGACTCAGACTCGACGGCCGGTGCTGTCGCCAGGGCCCTGTTTCACGGCACGCCGCTACCCGCCGCTACCAGGTATTGACGTTCCGTTTTCCATGGAAAGGGACCCTCCCACCAGACATGTGCATGGATCCGAGTGATGGATCTATGATCTCAGTGGATCTCGAAGCAAAGTACAGGTTGGGATCTATGATCCCACCGGATCCGGCGTGAAAAATACATCCTGGATCTATGACCTCATATGATCTGACGATAAATTAAGAACATGGATCTATGATCTGAGTGAATCCCACCATGCACCATATTTGAAACCATGTTTTAAAGGGTTTCTATGCCAATAAGTGACACAAAACTATAGATTATGACGTGCGATCACATAAAATCACTAAAACAGAACGTTTGTGAGTTGAAACAAGTTTTTTTTTTATATATGTGTTGACAAAAAATAAGTGAGGATCTGTGATCTCACATGATCTCAAGCAAAAATGAGACTCGGATCTGTGATCCCTACGGATCTCTCGATAAATTACAGAGATGGATCTATGATCCCGTCGGATCCGAGATCAGAATCCGTGGGATCAGATCCCAGATCCATTTTCTCGGATCCATGCACATGTCTGCCTCCCACCTTCAAAAAAGTTAATGAATTGGCATGAAAGTGATGTCGCTCGGTTCAGAAAGAGCGAAAACGAATATCTACCAAATTTCATCGAAAAATATTCACCGGTTTTCAAGATATTAAACTTGTACTTTATGCGACCTTCTCCTCGTTTAAATGTATTTTATGTCTCGCTCGACTTGTTTAAGCACGAGTTTATAAATGAACGAGTGAAACGAGTTCATTTATAAACGAGTGCTTAAACAAGTCAAGCGTGACATAACATACATTTCAACGAGGAAAGGTCGCATAAAAGTCATTTAAATGATTTTTCCAGCCGAGACGTCAGTAAATTGCAAGAAATCGAACCATTTCCTGGTTACAGAACAGTAGAGAGCCAGATGTATTCCGTGGATTAAAAACAATTATATCAAGAAATATAGTACACGTTTATTCGATCACGCTTTCAAATTACTTTGGTTTCCTTCTCACCCCATCACACTAGGGGATATGTGGGAAGCCGGGTTACGGGTGGGGGACATTTATAAACATGCGCATTAACATTCAACGGTAAGCTTTTAACATACATGTAACCAGAAATCGTAGATAGGTGAGTGACATCACGCGCTGATGAAGTCGAATCACTGGCGCAGCGCATTGTATGTGACGTTCACCGTGATGGTGCAGTTGGTGAATGATCCAGCTATAGCACGCTGCGCCAGTGCTTCTGCGGCGGCCGTCTCTTCACCTGCCGCCGGCCTCCCGTCCGCCGTTTCGACGAGTGTTCCGCTGCCGCTTGGTCCCGCCACGGCGCTCCCGAGAACATCCGCTTCACGGCGCAGCTGGGCGTGCGAGCTCCGTCCGATGTACGGCTTCAGGCTCTCTGCACTCTTGTGGCCGGTTCGTGAGATGATGCTGGTCTCACTCACGCCTGCACGAAACAGTTGCGTGATGGTGGTGGCGCGCACACAGTGGTTTGTGTACGCGCCGCTGAGCCCTGCTTCTTTGCTCATGCGGGCCATCATCTGGGCTACGGTGTTCACACCAACCGGCAGGTTTTTGTACCAAGAAGCTTCGGAGCTGGCTTGAAGCTTCGGCTGCTGGAAGAACCAGGGGCACGAATCGTTCAGCTTCGACTGATACAGCCTGATCAGTGCGTGAAATGTCGTTCCTCCGAACGCGCTGTCGTATATCCGGGGCTGAGAGGACACCAGGTCGCCCCGGTTCAGTCCGCCAGGATGATTTTTTTCAACAACGCACTGGTCGATCGAGAAATACTCCTGACCGGCATCATCTTTGTGGAAGCGGACTCCGCTTCTTTGCAGCTGTCTGTATATCTCGCGACCCCTAGCGCCCGTGGAAAACGCGATGATAAACCAAACCGCCTCCTGCAGACGGCGCGGGTTCTCCATCGTTTCTTTCTCAGACAGGTACGCTGCTATTTTTTGCAGGTCTTGTTCCCCTATCTCTTCCTTGTGTTGCGGCTTCGGGTTACCTTGTTTGGCGTATAGCCGGCACTTTGCGTTGAGAATTTTGTTCGCGCGGGTGAACTCTCTATCGTTCACGATGTGCACATCGCTTCTGAGCTGTCCAATGGCACACTGTATTCCTGCTCTCAAACCGTTTAAAGTACTTGGGCTTAAGGATCCAGAAGTTTTCGTGTGTTTCTGCTCACCATAGAACTTATGCAGTATTTTCCCTAAATCGTCTTTTTGAACTGTTGCCAAGTCGCATTGAATTTGTCGTTTTTCAAGCCAGTTGTTGAGTTTTTGCATGGCCCATTTTGTGGCAGATGCTGTGCCTGCCTGTTCCGCTTCTCGTTCCAAGCGCAACAGTTGTTCTTCATCCATTTGTGAAAAACTTCTTCGTCAGATGAATCCATCTCTTCACTCGCTCTGTGACGAAGGGACAAGGGGTCCATCCGTGACAAGAGTCTGTGAACGTATGCCAGACAGGATGTCGAGGACGTTCAATCGTAGACTTATTACTTAAATAGGTCAATGGGTTCAATAAACCCAAAGTCGTTTAAATAATGTTTATGCACTAGTGCTTAAATATTCAGCATTGCTTCAGCATTGCTTGACCTTATTTATCACCCGGCTCCTCCGATTTCAAAGGATTTCCTTCAACATTGTCGAGGCGGGAAAAGTCATTTAAATTTTACTTTTGTTTACTTTTTGGGATCTCCGCTGTTCCTAGCGACTTTATTACGAGCGAGCGAGCGCAGCGAGCGAGCGAGCTCATACTGAATTAAGGGAAAATCCTGAGTATGAGCGGCCAGCCGGCCGGCCGGCCGGCCGGCCATGGGGACGCTCTTCAAAAGCTAATATCTTAGGAACGGGACATCCGATTGACAAGCGGTCTTCTTTACTGAATGTCACTTGGACGTAAAAGTTCTGTGGTGTGATGGCCACCATGCGTTCTTGCCAACCACCGCACGTGGCGCGTGGTAAAGTTGGACATTTTTAAGAACCCCAAAATTGCAACCTCAATAACGGCACAACGGTTGGGCCGATTGAATTGAAACTCGGTACACAGTTAGGGCTCCATCAGATAATTCATCTGCATGTGTTAAGGTTGGGGTGCTACTGCACGTGCGCACGTGCAGGGGGCGTTTCCAGATCTCGAGAACGGCTGGGCCGATTGCGCTCAAATTTGGTACAGGGCTGGGGACCGGTTAGTAGGGTGCCGTGCAAAAGTCATTTTGGACCCCGTTTGCACGTGCGCACGTGCAGAATGCCGCTTCCAGATCTCAGGAACGGCTGGGCCGATTGCGTTCAAATTTGGCACACCGCTAGCGACCGGTTAGAAGGGTGCTTTCCACAAGCCCGTTGGAAGTACCCTCTCGCCCTTCCGCGCGTGCAGGGCTCACTATCTCGCTCGCTCGTTCTTCGCCCAAAAGGCGTTTTACTGGTTAGAAAGTGCGGCATTTGCTGCGCGCAAAGCAGCATATACCACCGCGTGCTACCAAACGTTTTAGTCAAAGATTTAAAAATCGTTAGACCTCCGCTGACGTCACAAATTCTAAGGGGCATTCCAATGCACTAGCCCCTAAGAATCCGAAAACTGCAAGTTTGAAATTCCATATCTCCGAATTAAAGCATTTTTCGATGTTGTGAGTGCCCAAACCGGTATTTTCAGGCCATGGCCAGTGGCGTATCCAAGGGGGGATCCTGGGGGTCCTAGGATCCCCCCTGGAGCCTAGAAAAAAAAGTTTTTTTTATAACACGGAAAAAATTGAAATGACTTCAAGGGCCCTTTTGACCACTTCCCATTTTATTCGCTAAAAGAAAAAGTATTGTAGAACTCTCTAAGGGACCCTTTGAGGATTATTAGAGGACACATTTAGGCCAATGAGGGACCTTGTGAAGTATACAGAGGGCCCTCTCAGGTACACAGAGGGCCCTTTCAGGCACACAGAGGGCCCTCTCAGGCACACAGGGGGCCCCCTCAGGCACACAAAGGCCCTCTGAGACACACAAAGGACCCTCTCAGGCACACAGACGGTCCTCTGAGACTCACAGAGGGCCCTTCCAGGCACACAGAGGGCCCTCTCAGG